AAGAAGATATTTTATTTTTACAATTTAATGAGAATTTTATAAGTGTTTCCTAAACTTCTTTCTATAGCTCCACAAAAGAAGATATTTTATTTTTAAAACAAATTAATAATTATGTTGATTTAGGGAAAAGAAAATAAGATTTTTTAACTCTACTTTCATATATTTTCTTATGTGACACCTAAAATCCAATCCTCGCAATTAAATTAGCTAACAATTTGACATATTTGCCCATTTAAAAGAAAACACAAATAGGTAAAGGAAGAGACATTAATTAAAAAATAGTTGCATTAATAAATCCCAAAGCAAAACAAGATGCATCATCAATAGAACATGCCCAAAACCTAAGACTAGCACAATCAACATGTTAGGAGGGAGATGAATACATTACATAATATATAATTCATATTAACCCTCCTTGCCATTTCACTAATAATATAAAGTTTTTTATGCTCTTATTGCATTATCAAGGAAATAATGGTATTCCATTGTTTAAGAGACGATCATGGTGTTGGATGATATTTTGATTTTTATATTCTTAGTTATTATTTGGATCAATATTATTTTATTATTTGTAATGATTTTTTGTCTATACAATAAGTTAACTTTGACTGACTTTTATTTAAGTTTTACTTTACCATCCTAAATTTTTTTATAGTATCAGAGCAAACAAGTAAAGGGTAAATGGTTTGTCGTATCCATAGATATTTGCTAATTCTAGTTTTTTAACAATTAGATCAATATCCTAAGATAGTTTCAAAAGGTTTTTTTTATGGTATTTGGTTATAAGATATATAATTACAATTACGAAATATATTGGAATTTAGATGTGAGATCGACTTCCCATTCATTTTCCATAACTTTGGAAACAATTCAAGAATGACTCTTATACAATGTTGGATATCAAAACTACTAAAACTAATGTCTTAGTCAATTTAGTAACTCGTACAATAAAGCTCTATGTATAGTAACCTTACATACATGATCAAGAATGATGATTCATAACATACCTCTATGTCTAATAGTCTATCATCATCGAACTATTTCAATAATACCATAAGAGAGGTGAAGAAAAGTTATGTTGAGCGATAAAGAAATAAATTCTATTATGAAATGTTTGATGGACCGGACGAATGATACACTCACCAATCGATTTTGGCGTTTTGTTGATTAGTGGAGAGGGTAAATGAAAAATATACATTCTCCATTCTACATTTTTTGATCTTTGAGGTTATGCACGTAATTTAAAAGTTATTAAATGATATATAAATTCGATACGATTTGACTAAAATAATCATATTTAATGCACATTAAAAACTGAATTAAAAAATAAATGAAGAAACATGTGATGAAAAAATAAGTAATAAATAAAGGTATAAGTGAAAATTAAAATATAAATGTGTATTGAGTTTCCAACAATCAAAATATTTGGAATAATATGGAAAAATTAAAACATCAAAAGGTATAGAATGAATGGAGTAACAAAATTCTTAATATTATTTTAATAAAAATATCATTCATTCACTATTGAAAATAACATTTTCAAAATTTTCAGAAATGAAGCTCATATTTTCTGAAATATGAAACAAAAGTAATAATGTGAACATGGTTTCCCTGTCCTTTTCTGATTTCATTGAAAATGAAAAAAAAATGGAAAGTTTTGGATGTCAATAAATTTCCCCTTCAATCATCTTTACTAAGGCTACTTTTTAAAAAAATCAATCATATTCCTAAAAATATTCTATATAAATTAAACATCGACCAAATATAAGAATATAATCAACTCAAAAATCATATTCTTAGTGATCACGTTACTAGTTATACCAAACAACATTAGAATAATTAGTTATAAAAACACATTACCCGCACCATCTCTTGTAATGATAGACTTTGATAACAACTAAAATCCAATATAGAAATGATATATATAGACTAATGGAAAAATTTCATTTTAAAAATTCAGAACAATCCACAAAAAATATTTTTACATAAAAATTCTTTCCTCCCAAATAGTATCTCTCCCTTTCAAATTAAATATTTTTCTTGGCATCATATCAACAATTTTAAAGAGATTTAGAAGATTCCAATCAACTTATTAATTATTTTATTGAATATCACAAATTTTTATTCAAGTATTAAATATTAATATTATTTTTTGTGATCCTTATTATAAACGCATATCGATTAAGATGATTATTTTATATTTTTAAAAAATACTACTTTAAAGAAAGATAAAACTGCCATATAATAAAAATCGTAATATATAAAAAATATTGAAGTAGTTCTTCTCTTTCAAACGCATGTCAGTTTTTTTCTTTAATTAGTTTTTGACTTTCTTTTTTGAATTTAATCAAAGGAAGATTTCATTTTACTTAGAAAAACATCAAATTCAGTTACTCTTTTATTGATTTCCATCATATCTTCATTAATTTAGAATAAATCTATTTAATTTATACTAAATATATTAATTTAGATATGGTAAGTATGTTAAATTTTTGCAAACTATAAAAAAATTATAGTATAATGTATCTCCTCGTACTAGGAGACAATTTACATCTTTCAGTCAGTAAAAGAATGCCATGTGTATTATTTTGTTTAGTTTTAGAAATATTTTTTGTAAAAAATAACTAAATGGTACACATGTCACGATTTTAGTAGTTGAATGAAATAATTTATCTCCTTATACGAGGAGATACATTATTCTAAAAAAATTTAACACTATATATCTTATATTCATTGTTAGTGATATTTTTTACATTCAAAAAATATTATCATTTCTCTTCTCTCCTTCTTTTCTATCTCACCAAATAAATGAAAGAGAAAAAACACATATTTATCCTATTTTTATTTCCTTTCTTATATCATACAATACAAAAATCAATTTTATTTATCATATATTTTTTCACTTATTTTTCTTATCTCCTTTCAATTAGTCTTTTAAACTAAGGAGAGTAAAATACTCAAAGGGCCAAGTCAAAACCATAGTCATAGCAAGAAAATTTGTTCCACACATAATATCTCATCATAGACACTGCATAATCTCTTGTTGTAACTTTCTCAATAAGGTTTTGTAACATAAAGTGTTTGTGGTATACACAATGGGAACAAAGAAGAGTAATTCCCTAGTGAATATTTTGATTGGATGGTTGAGCAAAAAATCTATGAAAATGAAGATATTTTTAGGGTTATTGTTTACTCATTGTGTTTTGATGATTCTAAACTTTACTATAGATGATATCAGATACTTTTTCATAATCTCTGAAGCAGCCTATATTTCTGGGACTCTTGTCCTCTTATACAAGCTCTTCAGGCAGAAGACATGTTCTGGTACTTTCCTTTTTTCCTTTAGACTAATGGGTTTTTGATGTTTTTTGGTTCGGGAAGATCCACTTATTTCAAGAGTAAGATGAAAAAAGATACTTCACATTTAGCCATTCATTTTAGGAAAATCTAATGATTTAAATTTACTTACTAATTCAAACCATTAGATTTTCCCTAAAATGAATGACTAAGATGTAAAATATGTTTTTTAACTTATGAATATATTCGGTTTTGATGTCTTTTATATTTCTGATTGCTTTTGATATTTGAAACCTAAGGCTTAGTATATTTATTGTATAAGAAAATTGTAGGGGAGATGAAAATGGATATAGCCCTTTAACAAGATTGTATGAGAAAATAAATAATTATAAATAGGTTGGAAACTTGTTTAATATTCTAACAATTTTTTACTTGTATATTTATTAGGTTAATTAAAAAAGATACTGTATAGATTGTAATGAATAAAAAAATATGGAAGTATCACAGGTATAAATAGCCGTCAACTCGGCTTTTTCAAATTGTTTCTTTATGTTTTTACCGCATCAAATTCCTAAAAATGTTACTTTATGTTTTTATAATTTAAATGTTACTTTTTAATTGAAATAATATACAAATGAGAACACTATATTGTTATATGGGATAATGGCTAATGCTTTATCTCCTACTATCTATGTATGATAGTGATGTTTTTTTTCTATAACCAAAAGTATCATATTATGTATAAGTAAAGAATTAATCCCTTAGACAATCGTAATAAGTGTCATTATCAAGGTTCGAATATTTGATATTTTGATCTATTTGTGGATCCTATAATGAGTGGATCCTTACATCACAATTACGTGCGAAAACTCAGGCCAACAAGAAGACCTAACAATAACATTCCAAACTAATGAGTGGGTTTGAGAGCATTCAAACCAAGATATATTCTCCTATTTGTGTATTCCTTTAATCCACATCCATAACTTGAGTTTAATATCATACACATTCTCTTCCAAACATGCTTCCTTATTATTAAACACCACAACATTTGTGTAAATGAAGAGTGACCACATTCTATCAATGTTTTATTAATGTTCAAGTAACTTTAATCATCAATATATGTGTTAAAACATATATGCTTGATAAATTTTGTGCTTATGAATATTGCTCTATGCATAAAGTGGCAATTTATCTTAATTTCAAAGCCATCATTACTTAAAAATTGTGAACTAATCACTGTTTTTAATTAGTATTGCAGATATTAGTATGAATTAAATTGGTGTGTTTTAAATGAATGAGACTATTATACTCTAAAGTCTATAAACAGAAATTCATTGCATTTTCAGGTGTATCACTCAAGACACAAGAACTCATGGCTTTATTCCTAGCAGCAAGGTTAATTTGTAGCATCATCATTGGAGTTAATATTCACACTTTGCTAAATCTGACATCTCTAGTGTCTGAATTATTAGTTATATGGATGATAAGATTCAGATTGAAGTCATCATATTTAAAGGAGCTGGACACCCTTCCACTCTCTTTTGTGGTAAGTATTCTCACTCGTAAACTTCTTTTCCTAAGCGGCCGAGTTTTTGGTGTAACTTTAAACTTGTTTGTCTTGTGATCGGAATGTCATTCGTTTAAATCCTATAAATAGTATTTTTGCTTATGAGAGCTATATACATTTGCCCTTGTGTACACGGCCCGAAAATGAATTCATTGCTGTATGGCTGACCGACGATTACTAGCGATTCCAGCTTCATGCAGGCGAGTTGCAGCCTACAATCTGAACAAATGACAGATTTTTGGAGTTAGCTTACCCTCGCGGGATCGCGATCCTTTGTCCCTGCCATTAGAAGATCCCTCTTAGCAGGAGCCTCATGTACTACTGAAACTAACAATGTATTGGGTATAATTGACTTACTAGGGCTAGTCTATGCTCACTACCGCAACTTGATCCAAACTTCAAGTCAATTCAGCATCTTCTAGTCAGTAGTCTATGCTCAATGTTTTGTTGATGATTTTTACAAGTCTATGGTAGCATAAAATAATGTTTTTTATTAGGTAATCTTCCGTAATAAGTTTCACATTGCCTCTCGGCCGATTGAGCTACTTCTCTAATCACCAATTGATTTTGAGATGAAATCAGATCCATAATCCAACAATGCAACATGTGCACATATCTAAATTAACAAATTAAGACAACAATAACATCTTCCATTAATTGTTTTGTAGGTGGTACCTTGTGCAGTCCTTGCAGTTCTAATACACCCTTCTACAATTTATACTCGAATTGGTAGAATCCTGTGGGCATTCTCTACTTATTTAGAAGCAGTTTCGGTTGTCCCTCAAATTCGTTACATGCAGAATGCAAAGGTATAATTTGGTCATTGCTTCATACATTTTTTGGGGTACTATCAAGGGTATCATTTCACCTTATGGGTAAGGAATAATCCATATCGGGGTGCGTGATTGCTACTGTCAACAAATGTTGTTCACACGAATCGAACATTTGATCTTTTAATCTTTCTGAGAATTCAGCACTACTAAATCAATGTCTTATTGGTTCCTAACGGCGTCATTTGTTCTAATCTAATTTTTTCACTTGTCCAGAGAAAAACTTAAATAATGTTTGTATGTTTCCACTTTTCAGATGATTGAAACCTTAACAGGAAAATATGTATTTGCTCTAGGTGTTTCAAAATTCTTTGGAATGGGTCATTGGCTTATGCAGGTGAGATTAATTTTCAATTCGTTTGATTTAGTAGAACTTCTCATTTTCTAAAGAAAAATATTGAATGAAATTTTTTTCATGAGGAAGGTCACAAAAGATAATATCTTATTCTTACCCCATTCAGAGAACTACATTATAAAGGACATGAAAAAAATAGAGCGAATACTTATGTAGATTTTATAAACTTTCACATCTAATAATTTGATTTCCAAAAAAATAAAAATTTAATGAGTGAAGATAGTCCTTATCAGAGTTTATAAAAAAATATTAAAAATAACAAATTTAATTAACATTTTATACTTTTAGGATTATTTTAAGATTTTCAATTCGTCATAAACCAAATTAACACACAAATATTTGAAGGGATGGAAATGGGTCTTAACTCAAAAAATGAAAAAACAGGGTCTAGATTTTTTTACCTAAATTCCAAGCTTTGCGATGGATGTTGAGAAAAGCTTCCCTTGAGTTGTTATGGGTACTCCATCGATTATAATGAGGAGATATTCATTTACTAAAACAGTAATTTTGTTAAAATTACTCCACATTTTAACCATCAATTCTAAGAAAATTCAATGTTTTAGATCTATTCACTAATTTAAATTATTGGATTTCCCTAAAACTGATGGCTAAGATGTGAAGTAAGTGAACCATTCCCATTATAATTGCATTATTAATCATAAAGCATAACACTATAACATGAGCTATTTATCTAAATTTTAATTTGATGAAAATAATATATGTTGGGAGATCTTCATCCATGGGCTATATCATTTTTTCATGGGCTAACCGAAAGAAATATATAAGTGAGTTTGTCACCAAATCTTGACCCAAAATCTTAAGACATTAGGTCTATGAGTCCATCTACTTATATGCTCTTCAACTCATCCACTTTTATACAATATGAGACTTCTTAATTCATATTTGGAATATTATTGCAACTATTTTTATGCAAAAAAAGAAGAAGATAAAAATGATATACTTCATTTTAGCCATTAACATTTTACCTAAGAAACTTGGAAGGATAAAAAATGTCATATAAGTAGTACAAAAAGTGTACCATGAAAACCTATTTAACTTTAAACACAATAAGAAATGATATAAAAATTTAAAAGAGTGAAAAATATATTATATAAATAATATGTAGTAAACATTTTTTTTGGGATGGGGTGCCCTTAATTAATCACCCAAACCTATGTAGGTCAATGGCTATCATGATTTAATATTCTTCCCCATACTCGAACTTTAGCTTAATTGTGGAATATTTTGAAGTCTCATTTATAAGGCTTTTGGAACAACAATGTATAGTTTAATTTCTATTTTTTTTTTGCAGATTTATGAGACAAAAGGGTTATTCTTATTTTTTATTGGGAGTGGTTATACCTGGTCATCAATATCTTTTTTTTCACAAATGGTTGAATCGTTTATCTTAATCGACTTTTGCTACTATTATATTAAGAGGTACTCCAATCTCTTCCCTTCATTAATTCATTTCATGATAGTTTAGAATTTATATATTTGATTATTATATTTATTTGTTTTGCATTGTTTATTTTTCAGTTTCATGCAAGGACAACTTTTGAGCAAGATGCCTGTTTAAGAATCTTGAATTTATTATGTGCAATATGTTGAATTAGATTAAGGTATATAGTACCTTAAATATATTGGGTAGTTATTGTCTTGCTATTTATATATCATACATGAAACATGATCTTGTCTTAATTTGATCCATGTTTATTCTATTAATAACATGAATACGGTTAAACATATAATTTCATTATGTCACCTTTAGTGGGATACATTTCAAACTATATATATAATGTTTTTTTTATACTAAACTAGTATATAGAAATAATATATAATAACTAATTGGGAACATTTCCTTTTAATAATTGAGAAGATTTCATAAAAATATTGTGATATAAATTTTTCCCCAAATAGTATTTTCCCCTTTTCAAATTAACTATTTTTTTAGATGTGTAATATCATATCAACAATTTAAAGTTAATTTCCCAATAAAAAAAGGAAAAGAGATTTTGAAGATTCATTATTGACTTATTGATTGTTTTCGTGAATATCTCATATTTTAGTGAACTATTAAGTATTTCATTGATTATAGATTTTTTGATAAATAGTTATTATTTAAACATAATAATTTATTAATAAATATTTAATGTTACTCTTTTTTTTAATAAAACCCGGTAGCCAATATATATTAGAACTAAAGGAAAGAGACCAAGTTTATAGGAAATTACATCTATAGTTAGGTAGACCTAACCTATTCTTATTAAACTCCTCAAAAATAATTCTACCCTCCCTAAAAATATGGGAAACCTTGAATCTTATTGAAGATATCCACTCCAAGCATCTAGACCACTTATTAGCTAACCTCCAAGGAATAGTCATTTTCCCATTGAATATTTCCACCACCATAATTGATTCACACTCAAGCCAGATATCCCTCCAACCTTTTTGTTGTGCAATCTCAACAGCCATGATAGCTGCTTGTAACTCTGCAAACAGAGAATCCCTGACCCCAAAGAAATTAGCAAAGTCTCTCATGTAGTCTCCATTGGAATCTCTATAAATGCAGCCTCCTCCCGCAAAACCAGGTGAGCCATGAGCTGCTCCTTCTGTGTTAATTTTAATCCACCCAACATGAGGAGCAAGCCAAACCACCTCCTTAATTCTTGGAGCTTTTTGAAAATTCTGCTTTACTTTGAATTCTCTTAGGATCACAAAATTAGCAACAAAATTATTAGTAAGCAACTTGGAGTTGTTTCCAGACAGAGATGTAGCTAACTTGATCTTTAATTGAGTCTGCAACAAAGTTAATTTTTTATTTTCAAATCTCCTCTGATTCCTACAAAACCACACTGTGTTACTAGTATGTATAATGGCAGCCTCCAACACTCCTTGAACCTGGGGGTTCCACTGTCCATTGCAGCCCAAGAATATTGTTTCAATTGAAGTCGTATCAATGTGGAAATTAAAAATCCTGCTTAGCCAATCCCAGAGCTTAGCTACAAAAGAACAGGACAAGAACAAATGACTTGAGCTTTCATGCTGCAAGTTACAATTATTGCACATTGAAGCTAGTTGATATCCTCTTTTTTTGGAAATTCTCATCAGTTGGCATTTTGTTATGAAATAACCTCCATGTTGTGAAGCTTTTAGAAGGAGGAATTGAATGAGACCAGACTTTTTTCACCAGTTATTGTCCTCCACATCAGGCCTTATACACCTAAAAGCAGCCTTAAGAGAAAAGATACCATCACATGTTCCTTGCCAGATCAGCTTGTCCTTGACCCTTGAAGTGCTAATTTGCACAATATCCTCAACCACATTAGGAAAAGTTTCAACAATAAGCCTATGAATTGTCCAAACAGAGTTTATGACAAAGTCTGCAACCCTGGCCACAAGAGAAGAGTGAATGGAAGCAGGGATGTTAAGTGTATCCATCAAAGCTACACCAAGCCAATTATCCTTCCAAAAGTTGATTTTTCCACCATCTCCCACCAACCACATGGAGTTTTGAGTCACCTTGCTCCAATTAGCCTTGATTCCATGCCAAATGGAAGACTTGAAGTATCTTTTGTTTAAACAGGATTCTGAGCCAAATCTTGCCCTACAAAAGAGAGCCCAAGCCTTATCAGAGGACTTCATAACCCAAGCAAGCTTTAGAATAGCAGCTTGATTCATCTTCTTGATAGATCTAAGCCCCAATCCCCCAAATTTTGAAGGGGAGCAAACTTTTTTCCAGGCAACAGTGACAAGTTTTCTGGTTTTGGTGTTACCAGACCAGATGAAATTTCTTATGCAACCATCTAAGCTCTTAATTAAACTAGCAGGCCATGCATAAATATGGAAGCTATAAGCCAACATGCTCTGGATGACAGACTTGACAAGCTCCACCCTTCCCATTATGGATAGAGATAGACCCTTCCAAGTAGCTAACTTGGCAATGATTTTATCAGCTATATGTTGAAGATGTAACCTTCTAGGTTTCCCTCTGAACAGAGGCACTCCCAAATAATTGAAAGGCAAACTACCAGCATTGAAACCCAATATAGCAGACATATTCTGAGTCCTTCTAGCATTCCCATTACAAGTGTAGAATTTACACTTAGCCAAGTTAATGTA